GAAAGAAAGAAAGAAAGAAAGAAAGAAAGAAAGAAAGAAAGAAAGAAGGAGGGAGAGAAAGAAAGAAAGAAAATTAGGAAGAGAGAGAGAGAGATAAAACTCTGTGCTATTATTTTTAATTGTTCCATTATTTATCGTGTGTTAATATTTTACACTGCCCCTACACACCTAGAGTGATTTTTCTGCCTTTCTTTTGCCCAGCGCTACCACATATTTTTCAGGGTTTACATGCATTCAATATCAATAGTCCAGAGCATAAAATACACATGTGTTTAACAAGAATTGAAAAGGGACCTTGGAGGTCTTCCAGTCCAACCCCCAGCTCAGGCAAGAAAACTGAGGATGCCAAACTCTGAGTAGAAATCCTGGGAAAGGTGTCAGAATAATAGTTAGAAGGGACCTTGGGATGAACCCTATACCGTTTCAGAGAAATGGCTGTCCAGTCTTTTCTCAAAAACTTCCAGTGTTGGAGCACCCAGAACTTCTGGAGACAGGCAGTTCCACTGGTTATTTGTTCTCACTGTCAAGAAGTTTCTCCTTAGTTTTAGGTTGCTTCTCTCTCTGTTCAGTTTCCATCCATCGCTTCTTGTTTGCCTTCTGCGTCTTTGGAAAATACATTGTCCCGCTTTCTTTGTGGCAGCCCCTTAAAAGCCTGTTGCCTATATCACACTCTTGAGTAAAGCAAGTGAGCCATTTCCTCTTTTCAGTGGTCCATGAAAGTACATCTATAGCAGGCGGATAATAAAGTCAGAAAAAGGTGAACAACATTTTGACAGAACTGTAGATAAGTTGAGGCTGGTGGGACAAGGAATGGCTGGGAGGGGAGGGGCCAGGTGAGGCACCCATTGATATGAGTGACATTGAGTTGGCCACGCCCACCCAGTCACATGACCACCAAGCCATGCCCGCCCAGTCACATGACCACCAAGCACACCCACCCAGTCACATGACCACCCAGCACACCCAGTCACATGACCAAGCCACGCCCGCCCAGTCACATGACCACCAAGCACACCCAGTCACATGACCAAGCCACGCCCACCCAGTCACATGACCACCAAGCCATGCCCACCCAGTCACATGACCACCAAGCCACACCCACCAAATAAGCCACGTCCACAGAACCGGTAGTAAAAATAATTTGAATTCCACCACTGCTCTCAGTTCCTTTTTTGTTTGCTTCACCCCTGACAGGTGTGTGTCCGTTTGGCCTTCTTGGAAATCTGCATTACACGCTGGCTGGCTTGCCGCTGTTCAAAGATCAACACATCGTTCTGAATCTAAACGTAAGGCCTGTTTCCCACTTAAAGACCTCCGCTTCTTCTTCCCTTCGTGGCTTCCTCCGATTGCGATCCTGGACCGATGGCGATCGGGGCCCCCAATAAGTTCAAATGAATTCATTAATTTGCAAAACCTTCTATGCCCAGGAACCTTCGCAATGAATGGTTGGCCTTCACTCAGAATTAGATAAGGAGGGTTGGATTTAGATTGCTTGTGATTATGGGAGGGATTCTAGGCTGGTGTCTCTTTTGATGCCACCTGCAGTTCCTGCCACTCCTTCTCCGACAGTTTTCCTCACCGTCTCCTTTACACCCTGAGAAACTAGGGGGAGTTTCCTGAGCCTCTTTTCCAGGGGTGGGATTTAGACAGTTCAGGCTGGTTCAGGCGAACCGGGTGTTAAATTTACACCCGATTCGTCGAACCGTAGTTGAACTGAAACGGGCCTGTTTCCAGCTTCTGAGGGGCCTCCTGAGCCCAGGTGAGGCCATTTTGGCCCTTCCAGAGTCCCCAGGGAAGCCACTGGCCTCTGGGGAAGGTGCAAAATGGCCGCCTCGGAAGCTCCGGTAGGCCACACCCACCCAGGAACCGGGCAGAGAAGCAGTCGTTGGGATTTTTGAATCTCACCTCTGCTCTTTCCCTCCTCCACCCATCATGCATCTATGGGCCGCGCAGTCTCTTACCTGACGTTCGGTTTTGTGCCTCTGCAATAAATTCTCTCTTGACCTTTCATCCTTTTCCAGCTTATGATGACTGACCGCAACGGCCAATCTGTGGATTTTCCTAGAGCCCAAAACACCTCTTTGCCTCTGCTTCCCGCAATGGACGGTACTTCTCAGCTGATGCTTCCCCGTGACCTCCTTTCCTCGTTGCTCCAGATGCTCGTATGGAAGGGAGCATTCGACGCGGACCTCACTGGCCTGGCGGTGAGCCATCTTGACAAGAGGCGAATCTTCCAGACATTTCCGGCCCCTATTTGTGGACCATAGATATATGAGCAGAATGGTAGCTGGTGGGGAAGACTCTCCCCTCCAGCTCGGAAGGTTGAGAGTTCAGTGCTCTATCGGGGTAGACAGAGAACATATCTGCTGTGAATTCCGTGTAGGCATCAGGAAGGGAATCCAGCCAGTAAAGGCTCAGCTCCATCAAGTTGCCCCAACTCTACCCCAAATCGAGCAGGGGTCCTCAAACTTGGCCACTTTAAGACTTGTGGACTTCAACTCCCAGAATTCTCCAGCCAGCTGGAATCCTGGGAGTTGAAATCCACGAGTCTTAAAGTTAACCAATTTGGAGACCTCTGGATTACAGGGTAATAAAAAGGGGAATGTATTTGTGGGGCAGAGATCTTTGGGTTATTCTATGTTGTCAGCTCCTTCGCTTTCACCAAGGAAAAATCCTCGGAAACATCTCAGTTGTATCCTTGGCTTTTTTCTCTAGTCTTTAGATAACTTCCTTTTTAAATTATTTGTTTTCTCACTGGGGATCACAGAGGGAAGGGAACGTACCTTCAGCTGAATGTCCAGATGGGTCATTCGTAGTTCTACCTATCAAAAGACATTGTGCAGCTTTTCCAACTTTTAGAATAGAATAGAGCTGGAAGGAACCTTGGAGGTCTTCTAGTCCAGCCCCCTGCTCAGGAGACGCTTTACTATGCCAGGCAACTGGCTGGCCAGTCTCTTCTTAAAATCCTCCACTGATGAAGCACCTACAACTTCTGGTGGCCAGCAGTTCCACTGGTTAATTGTTCTCATTGTTAGGAAATTCCTCCTTCATTCCAGGTTGCTTCTCTCCTTGGTTAGTTTCCATCTATTGCTTCTTGTCCTGCCTTCTGGGGCTTTGGATAATAGGTTGAGCCCCTTCTTCTTTGGGGCAGCCCCTCAAATATTGGAAGACGGCTCAAGACATGGAGATCAGGTTACTTTAGAACAAGTATCCAAGGAAGAAGCACAGAAGGATCCAATCTGATCATTTGGAGGGGTTATGGTCTGCCAGATAGACCCTTAAAAGACAGACCCCAAATCTCTTTCCTTCTGCTGGCCTATCTTGGAGGCAGCTTGATGGTAAAAATAGCCACGAGGTTCTTGCCCTTCCTTCCTTCCTTCCTTCCTTCCTTCCTTCCTTCCTTCCTTCCTTCCTTCTCATTACCCCTTCCTTCTCATTCTTCCTTCCTTCTTTTCGTTACTCCTTCCTTCCTTCCTTCTTCTCATTACTCCTTCCTTCCTTCCTTCCTTCTCATTACCCCTTCCTTCTCATTCTTCCTTCCTTCTTTTCGTTACTCCTTCCTTCCTTCCTTCCTTCCTTCCTTCCTTCCTTCCTTCCTTCCTTCCCCCCCTCCCTCCCCCTCTCTCTTTCCTTCCTTCCTTCCTTCTTCTCATTCCTCCTTCCTTCCTTTCTTCCTCCCTCCCTCCCCCCTCTCTCTTTCCTTCCTTCCTTCCTTCCTTCCTTCCTTCCTT